AGCTCAGCCTCACACCCCCCCCCCCACCTCTCACACAGGTTCAAACAATTCCCACGCACACTTGAGATTCTGTAACATCTGCAGCAAAACATTTTCCTGAAAGCCAAGCAGGAACCAGGGAAGAACTGCAGGAGCACTGCGGCATCTTGGCAGAACAAAGCACAATTATGAAGCTCAGGGGCTTAAAGGAAACAACCTTTGAATGACTGAACAAGACCAGAGAGGAACAATCAAAATAACTTCCCCATCGACTGAGATTTCTTCCCCACTACTGAAGTCCCCCAGAATTACTGAGAATTACTCAAGTACAACAGCACAACAAAACCCCAGCAGGGGATCAGAACAACTTGCAAGGAAATGGAAACAAACTCCCCCCTTCTACGTGATGACAGCTCGGCAAAGGTGGCTACAAATGATTAAAATGTAAAAAAATCCAGCAAAGAACAAATATGCAGCTTCTTTCCCCAAGATCTGCTTCAGGTATCCACTGGGTAAGTTAGTTTTAAATAATTTTACAGAAAGCTGTAAAAAAATTTGGCTTTTTGTAACGAGTTTTTAAAAGAAGAAACCATTTCTGCTCTTGTAACTTGGTTTCAGGTGTTGGGTGCATTTTACCAAGCACAAACCAATCCTGGCCAAGCATCTTGATGTTTTTAGTGGACACTTCCTGACACAGTGACAGCCCCAGGCATTCACACAACTCCAGCCCTCCAGAGGAGCAGCCTCAGGTGTCCCTTTACACTGAACTGCAGCACTTCAGTCTGAAGTCACAGCAACAGCAGAGACTCCACAGCACTAACAGCACTGAGGTTTAGGGTGTAAATTGCGTTCAACTGGCAGAACACGAGAGCCCCAGGCAGGGGCTGAGCAGGCACGGCGTGCTCACCATCCACAGGATGGAGCCCGTGGGCTGCTCCACCTGCTGGGATCCGCTCCAGCGCGACTTCACCGTCGCCAGCCCGAAGTCCCCAATCTTCACTGTCAGGCCTTCATGGAGAAATATATCTGAGGATTGGTTAAAGAAACCCTGCAAACGCCTGAGGAGACAATGCTGCATTTCCTGACACGGCTACAAAGTGTGTGGTGATCACAAACACAAGCCACTGTCCAAGAACATTGCTGATTATTCTATTTACCCTGCTGCAAGCTCTATCTTCAACACAGCAACAGCAATTTTATGGCATCTATGTTTACAAAGTTAACATTTAGAACTAAACAAGACCAGATGTTTCAGCATTATTTGTCCATCTCTGTTTATGGTGGGTTAGGGCAGAACCAACGATGCTGACGGCCATCACTGCCTGCAGGTACTGCAGTACTGAACGGGTGTCACGAGGCACAGGGGGAACAGCACAGACGTCTCGCAGCTCAAAGAAACCCCTACACCAACTACAAGTAGAAGTCAATATAAAAATACATCTATTTACATAAAGCTCTCTGGCAGACCTCCTGAGATGTAACCACAGTGTAACTATTTTAACTGGAAATATTCTGTACCACTTGGAATTATGTCCTTAACAGATCTGCCTGTCAGGACTGATAGCCAGCACTTTCTTTGTTGGGGTTATTTTAAAGTATCATTTAACAATTTCAGTTAGGAATGTTTTGAGCTCAAAGAGATGATTCAGAAATATAAACATGACTGACTCCTCACTTCCCTCTCAGAAGCAGAGCTGATTTATTTCACAAAAATCATTATCAGGAATCACAAACTCCTGACTTCCCATACACTGACATGACTATTTCTGGTTTAACTGAAAATGGGAATCCCCATTATGGAACCACTGAACTTGGATTCTTTATTTTATGATGACCTTTTCAAAACATCCTGTTCACATTTTATGGAAGGAAGCCACAATTCCTGCTGTTCCTGGCAATTCCAAAAGCAGGCACCTTCCAAGGCAAAAGATACCAGTTCACAACATTTTTACTCCAAATGCACTACTCAATCTGTATTTTTGCACAAAATACAGTGGTTAGAGGCTGCCTTCTCTTGAATTTAAAGTCAGATTCTTGGCTTCATTTCTGGCAGTCATGTGAGGTGTTCTAAATATTTATCATATCCATGTATTTATGACACAGCTATTCCAAACCCCCAAAAGCTCCATCCCCAGTAAGTCACTCCCATGGAGGCAGGACCATTCAGAAAGGATACTGTTGGATTTCATGTCTCTGTGGATGATGTTCTTTGCATGTAAATAGCTGTGAAGGAAAAAGCAGAGCAGTGTCATTGCCAAGGCTGCTCACGAACATCTACCCCAGGCCAGGTCATGGCACACTCACCCACTCCTCACACCTCTGGTCCATGGACAGATGGGGGTACTTTGGTCACCAGCAGGTGACTCTGAACAATGCCCTGGGCATCACTGACTGTGCAAGGACCTCAGGCACAGGGATGGCACCACTCACACTGACCCTGCAGCACTGGGGCTGTTCCCCTGTGCATGAAATCCATGCCCTGTGCCGAGGGTACTGCTCACAAACCCTCTTCATTTACATCCCCCAGTTTCCTGGGGCTCCGACTGGAAACCTGGGTCCTGCTCCCCAGAATGGATGGGCACTGACAGCCCCTGTGTGCTCCCAGCATCAGAACAAGTGCTGGCAGAGCAGTGAGATGGGGCCTTGATCAACTCAGACATCTGCAAAATGTTTCCAGAATGTATCTCAGTGAGTCCTGGAGCTGTGGAGTAGGAACAGCCACCCCCTCATCCCACAGAACTACCAGCAGGATAAATTAGTGGTTGTCAAACACTGCAATGTTACAGTAACACAGGGGAGGAAAAAAACCCTTAATTTTATATTTAGAACAGGATCTTACATAGTGTGTTATAACAACCTCAAGCTGTACAAGATAAAATACACAAGAGGTGACTGATAGGGGAGGTGAACTGAGCTGGGTTTGTTCAGCCTGCAGAAGAGAAGGCTCTGGGAACACCTCACTGCTCCTTCCAGGACCTGGAGGGGGCCTATAAAAATGAGGGAGGGGGATTTACATGGGCAGACAGTGACAGGACAAGGGAAACAGCTTCCCACTGCCAGAGGGCAGGGATAGATGGGATACTGGGAAGGAATCCTTCCCTGGGAGTGTGGGCAGGCCCTGGCACAGGTTGCCCAGAGAAGCTGTGGCTGCCCCTGGATCCCTGGAAGTGTCCAAGGCCAGGCTGGATGGGGTTTGGAGCACCCTGGGCTGGTGGAAGGTGTCCCTGCCCATGGCAGGGGGTGGAACTGGGTGAGCTTTAAGGTCCCTTCCAACCCACACCATTCCACGAGGCTGTGATCTGAAGGATCCCCAGGGACAAACGACTGAACTGAGGTTCAGCTGCTGTTTCAGCCCAGTGAGTTCCCGTGTCAGGGTGTGGGCAAGGCAAGGCAAACCCCTCCAGGCCGAGGCCAGGGCTGCCCACGCCACTCACTCCATGCCCTGCGCCGTCTGGCGGGCGATGTCGATGAGCTGGAACATCTGGAACTTGGTCTCCTGGACGTGCAGGTGTTTGTACAGACTGCTGCCCTCGCACCACTGCGTCACGATGGCCAGGTTGTCCTTGGTCATGTAGCCCATGAAGAGCAGGATGTTCACGTGCCGGGTCTTCCTGCAGGGAGGAGCACACAGGGAAATCAGGGGTTGCACAGAACACGTCTTCCAAGGCCTGCACAAATGGAGTCCTGCCTGAAGGGATGTATTTCAGCTTTGGAGGCCAAAAACATGGGTTTCCTGCAAAATTTTTCCAAGTTGGATATGTGACTAAAGTTTAGTTTTACAAATAATAAAAATATGCCACAGTTGTCGATTTGGTTTGTTGGTTGGTGTTTGTTTTTTTTTTTTTTTTTAATAAAATCAGCTGGGTTTTTTTGTTAAAATGTTAGTTAAAATGCTCCCTTTTAGTTCCACAGAAGTTATGTAAAATCAACATTTAAGGAAGAGGTGTCAGGAGGATTCAAGTGTTTTGAAATCAATAACCAACATTCATGTTTGCAAGTGGTATCAGAAGGAGTTGTTGGAATAACAGAATCATCCTGAAAGCTGTGCAAAAGTGACAACTTGACAGAAAAATGAATGCCAAGAGGAAATTAAAGGGTCCCTATAGACTGTGAAGGAATTATCAGATGAGAAGATGGTTTTTATGCATCTACAGAGTTCAGTTTCAGGAGGAACATCACAGATAGTTACTTGAACACTAAAAAAACCCAGTATTGGAAAGCAGAAAGCTCTCAGACCAAAGTATACGTTTAAGCATTAAAAAAAAAAAGTCTTATGCTGCAATTTTAAAAGTATCCAGTTCGAGTTCAAGTCCTCTGCTGGTGGGAATCATGGCAGAGTTTATTAATCCTCACCTTTTCCTGCACAGTTGTGGGTGTGGCACTACTGAGGGGAACACAAACCCTGCAGCAGCAGCAGCAGCAGAGAACACTGAGAGACTCTGAGCTGGGATTGTGTCTCACAGCTCCACAGCAACACAATCATCAACAGAAAGGTTCTCATTTTGCTCTGGGGATCTGCTTTTTGTGTCTATCCAACACAGAACACTGGGCCAAAGGCTTCCAGGAGGGGTGGCAATCAAATGCAGAGCCTTGGCATCAAGCAGTGTAGCAGTGAAACTCCAACTCACCTCAGCACAGCCACTTCATTTCTGAAAGCCTGGAACTGCTCTGGGGTTGGGTCTACAACCTTTAGTATCTTCACTGCTACATCCCCTGAAAATACATTGACCACAGAAGTTACTAAAAAAGCAGTGTTTTTTTTTTCTCCTCTCCAAAATAACATTAATATGTAGTGTAAATAGAATTCCTAATTTATGCACAATACACCTCTACTAATTTGCATGTAAGTCAACATTCTGCTATCCAGCTTCAGCATTTTTACAATTAACTTTAAAATATTTGTATGTATATATACACATAACCTTTCTAACAAAACTTCATCTAAAAAGCCAACTTTCTAGATTTGGATGCTGCTCCTTTTAGGAAGGGGAGAGATAAATCTATCCAGGAACAGCAGAGAAATCATGAATGACAGCAATGTCTGATTAATGTCTGTTCTCTGCCTTCATTTCAGTGCCACTACAGGAAGAAGTTCCTGTTTCCCACCCAGCACTGTGTGGTAGAAGTGCCCAGAGCACATTGAATTCCCAGTGTCAGGAATGCTGTCCCAGCACAGCAATGCTGTGAGATGGTGACAGGCCCAGAACTCACCGTGCCATTTGCCTTTGTAAACTGTCCCAAAGGAACCTGAGCCTATCCTGGTGGAAAGCATCACTTCACTGGCTTCTATTTCCCAGTAATAACTGGAATCTCTCTGTCCACGAGGCCTCTGGAACAAGAATGGACATGGCTTTTACTTTTTAATCAGATGTATTATATATACACACAAAAAATGTGACCTGAAACCTTGTCCTGTAGTTTGGACTCTGCTTTTTCTCCTCATCCACTTTCTTGGATGGCCTGAACTGCTTAAGAAGTTATCCTAAATTCTGCCCTAGAAACTTAAACCCTAATCCTAGATCAGAAGAAGATTAAATGTTTTACAATCAACTATTTAAAGCCATCTGAAACGCTTAAGAACCTTACTGGCTTCTTCAAAATGGCAATGCTAAAATTCTGGGACTCTTTATGTATTTCAATTGAATAAAACAGAAAGATGAGAGTGGAATTTTCACATGTCCAAGTGAGTAACAACTGCTGAGTCCCACTAAGCAACTGTACTTGCACTTTGAAAGAAATACTAATAATTATTATTCTAACTATTCTTTCTTCCCCTCCATCATCTAAGTTTAAATCAACCCTTTGAGGGAAAACCTGCATTTTGTTAAAGCTGTTTCTCCCTGAGCCATTGGGACAAACTTCCTATGCAAATGAAATTATTATCCACTTTCTGTGGGAGCTCTGGCAACACACTGATAATAGTGATAATAAGGCTGACCTTAAACACACCAAAAATAATAAGAAAGATGCAGCCTCTAAAGATTTAAAAGGTAATCCTTGAATCTGCACAATTTCACACTCCTGTCTGAAATCCATTCTCAAAGCAGAACACTTTGTTCTGAGTATTTATAACCCAAGGCAATAGTGTGATGGTTCCCAAATTAGTTCAAATTATATTGCTACTGCAAACACAGTGCAGAGCAATCCAACACTACCAGCAGCTTTTAATGCCTTTTAAGAGCAGAAATTTATCCCAACACACCCCTACTCCCAGCCTAATTTAACTTTCTTTTTTTTTTATTAACACAAACATTAGCACCCTTACAATTTTGTTCTTTTCCTGTGTATTAGATCCAGCAGCTCTCTCTCTTTGGGCTGGGACCGGGGTTTTAGGCTGGGACCAGCCAGTTGGGCTCATATTGTTAGGACTTCCAGACAGAGCAGAGGGTGAGGCTGAAATACAGAAACAGAAGAAAAATAATTTATGAGCAAGAAAATAAACAATCAAAATAATATTAGAAATTATTTAGTTTTTGAAAGCTTACCTGATTCACTATGGCTTCGAATTGCATCCTAAAACAGGGAAGATGGAGAATAGAGTTAATAAATGTCAGAGAGCACATCAAGGAACAAGCAAGAATGGTGCTGAAATTGGTTCTGACAGTTTGGTTGAGTGCAATATTGGCCAACCCCCTCCAAAAGACGGGTGATTCCCTGGTTACACCAATCCTATGTGCTAAACCCATGCAATTGGTGAATTCTTACAGCACATGAAAAGACTCACAGCATATTAAAGGGTACTACTACCAAAAAAGGAAAGGAAAGTGAGGAAAAAAAAAAAGACACAGAACAAGAAGAACACCATGAGTGCTGCCTGCATTCCCCCTGCACTGGGACATGCTCGTGTCTGAGGGTGGGACAGCTCCTGGCATGGCCTCTGTCTGCAGGGGACAAGTTCCCAAACAGCTATGGGGGAACAAGTAGAAAAACTTTTTTAAAAAAGAAAAAAAAAAAAAAAAAGCCTAAAATATTCCAACTCAACATCCATTTTGAAGTATCTCTACTATTTCAACCCCCCCAAAAAAGGCTCCACGTGGTGCCCTCACACAAGCCCTCCTGGTTTGCAGGACATCTCCCCCCAGGACAGCCTGGCACCAGACAGCAGGGGTGGGCACAGGGCACTGCTGGGACAGGGTGACAGCTCTCACCTCATGCCACAGGCACAACACAACTCTACAGCCATGCACAGGGGAAACTAAGCTCTGACAAACAGCACTGCACAGCTTTTCTCACCTGCTATGGGGATTATCCCAAAGAACATACAGGAAAGGTAAAATATCCAGGGACTGTGTAAGTACAAAGCAAGAACATGCACTACAGAAATGTTAAATACTGTCAGAGTTAAGAGAAGGCAATTCAAACTAACTAGTTAGTAGAACAATAAATGTAAGATTTCATAGAAGGACAGAACACAAGCCTACATTCCGCTGTACAGTTTCAAATTAAGATTATCCTTCGCAAAGCTTCATTTATGAAATGCATCATTTTAGCCCATTAGTTGCATTCTCCCAGGCTTGACCATATACAGTATTCCTGCACTCATCACCTGAGGGGATTAAAATCTCCATAAACTATCAGTGAACTCTTGCAATCATTACTTTTGTCCATTTGAAGGACAATAAAACCCTCTCAGCACCTGAATGATTAACAAGTGGTGGGTTTAGCACATCAGCCTGAGAACGTAACTGCTTTAAATCAAGCTGGCAAAGGATAACTAAAGAATTTTCAATTGTTCTCCTACTTATGTATATTTTAAGAAGTATTTTGAACTTCAACCCTGATTTGAATATTTTCTTCTTTGCTTATGAATCCAACAGCAAATGAACCAAACCTACTTTCTTAGAGTTGTTCTCCCAACACAAATAACCCCATACACAGTGCTGTAGTCTGTCAACTTTACTTTGATGTGAAATAAAAACAGGACATGCCCTCACTCTCAGGGCTCTGTACGGTTATAGTCACTAAAAACAGTTTCCAGGAGGAAAAAGCCACCCAAGAGATGTGTTTGAGCAGGTTCTGCTTTCAGGGCTGTGTGACCAAGTGCCTCTCTGAGCCCACTCAGCTCCACAGAAATGCAGCTCTTCCCACAAGTGTCCCCAGTATTTAGGTACAAACATGCCACAAAGGTTTCCACCCAGTCAGCTGCAGATTAAACACTTCACGTGGACACTGCCATGGCTCACAAGTTACAGCAATCCTGTTAATCACAAGAAAACAAAAGGCACCAAGAAAATACCTACTCTTCCCCTCAAACAAAACCGTCTGCACCAGGAGCTGGGAGAAGCATTCAGGCTGTTATTCTAGGCCAACGTGGTAAGAGATAAGAGAAAAGAACAGAGCAAGTATAAAAAAAAAAATTAAAAATGTTAGGCTAAATGAAAGAAAAAGCAACCTAATTTGGTTGATAAATGGTAAGTAAGTGCAGTAAAATTTTCAAATAGGTATTCCTGCTCAAACCAGAAGTTCACTGGTACCTGTCTCTGCTAAACCACTTTTTTAAGGTGGTCTTTTCCTGACATACTAAAAGGTCTCTAATTCCTTTTTTCTGCATTGCTCTGGGACTCTTTTAAAGCTTTTTGGAAAAGCCCTGAGGACACAACAAGGGTCAAGCCCTACAATAATTGAAGAGCCAGAACAGAAAGCACTTCTGTCTTTCCTGCTCTAATAAGGAATAAAGCAAGCAATGTCTGCTCGAAGTCTCTTCCCTCTGCAAAGGTAATTAATCTCTGAGTGCTCCACGATGTTTGGTGCCATCACAGATGGTCACAGCAGGGCTCTCAAGCTCTGAAGAAGGTGGTGATCCTAAGGAAACCCCAGAGGAAGGGCCACAAAGCTTCCAAGCACAAACACCTCCTGGGGCTGCAGGGCCTGTCCCTCCTTCCCAGAGGGCCCCAGGACTGTGCAGGACACTGCAGGCTCCACGTGCCACAGCAGGCTGGGAACCAGCGGCTGAAGATGCACCTGAACTTAGCAGGCAAAGGCTTTTGCTTGGCCTGAAGAGTGTTTGAACTTCTCCAGAGAAAGACACCAACAAATAGTGCTCTGTGGGGCCCTGCAGCCCAGCACTCCCTCCTGCCAGCCTTTCCTGCTCACCCCTCCCTCAGTCTGTCAGGGGGAGCACAAAACAGAATTTAACTAAACCCCAGCCACTTCAGGCCTAACTTCTAAGAGTTGTCCCTCACTACTGCCAGGCAAGGTAGGAAAATAAAAGAAAGAGGTGCTTGAAAGCAGGGAACAGCAGAGGTACCCTGAGATAAGCTGGTTTCAGCCCACAAACCCAGAACCGCTGTTATCCTACAGGGATAACACAAAACATATCACCAGTAGGCTTTGAGTATTCCAAGTCCAAGAACTACACCCAGATTTACAGCACCTGTAGTCTGACCTAAAACAAACACCAACCCCATATCAAACCCAGACTTTTAAGTTTGAAAGAAACATTTTTAGATGTGCCTAACAGGTATTTCTGCAGCAAAGCTGAGCTTATTTTCTCTTCAGATCCGGACAACTCAATTGTTAAGCTCCAGCACATCTTAACATACACCAAATATCTGCCTATTGGTTCAGCAAAGTTGATAGACTGCAAGAATGAATAATTAAGTTCCTATGCAAATGTGTCACCTGTATTGTACATCACTCAGCCAGCTAAGGCAAACAGTAAAGCAAATGACAGAAAGCAAAGAAGAAAACCCAACCAGTGGCTATTAGATGGCCAGTCTGAGTTGTAAGTTAACTTTGTGGCAGGATTACCTCAATTATCCTGCTGTCTACAGGCATTGTAGTGCTGACCATGTGGACATTTGGTGTGGAGGTGGAGCGCTGCCTTTGGGACAGAGAGCCCTCAGAGGAAGGGTGGGAGGTGTTGAATGTGAAGGCATGAGGTGTAGAATACCTGTGCTGGGAACTGAGGAGAGAGAGACACAAAGGGCAAGTTGTGGTTATTTTTTTCCCCTCTAGCAACTGAAAAACACTGAAAAACAGTGTAACCTGTCCAAAAGCAACATACACAGAATTCCAAAGAAAGAAAAAGCTGGGACTCCCATACCAACTAAACTGTCTGGTCAGCTGAATCATTACCACTTTAACTTAGGAAATAAACTGAAAAAACTGGAAGTTCTTGTCAGCTAACATACAAACACAAGTGTGTTTAACATAAGACTGTTTCTGCCATTACAAATTTTGTCACAGTTCCCCTCAATCCCCATCGAATTACATTTAATATGCTGACAAAATACTGGCTCTGAGAGATGAATTCAGGGCTGTGAAATCTAAACAAACTGCTCATTTCAAGCCTGTTAAATGCACAGCTTCAGAGCTAAGCCCTGAATTCGTCAAGACTTGCAAGACTGTCCAATGCTTTGCTCAGAACAGCCAGCAAGGAAGTCATGAAACTCAACAACAGTTAAAAGGAGGCCAACACTAAAATCCAGTTCCACGCAAAGTTATAAATCACAGCTAAGGTCACTCAAACCGTATTTATCCCAAAACACACATCTATCTTAACTGAAATCAGCCAGTCTTCACAAAAAAAGCTTAAAATCATCTATCAAGTTAGTAAGTCATTGTTTAACAACAGCGGAAATAGAAGGAGATGGCAAAGATCAATTCTGATGCAGTTCCCACTAAAATAAATTAAAAAATACATAGAATCATTTACAAGTCAGCTACGTGCTCTGTGCCTCATTCCTGAATAGGCCAAGACTTTTCAAAGGGGTGCAGAAAAAACAAAAGCTGGCCTGCCCTCTTCAGCCTCTAGAATTTCAAGGAAAAGAATACAGGCACATGTTAGGATCAGGAGACAGGCCCCTTGGAAAGGAGTGCATGTTTTATTCTAGCATTTCAAATTACAAGAATGTTCTCTTGAGGTATCAGAATTTTCTTGAGGAGGAGTAATTTTCAGTTCTCACTGTTCTCTCTTTAAACTCCTATCTGTCATCACAACATCACAGCATTATTTTAATGTATGCAAATCATCCAGCACGATACAAACCCTTGATTGCACCGTACTGCCTGATCAGATAAAATCAAATCCATTCACAAAAATACCAAAAGGGAGCCTTGAATTTTCTTAGGCAGAAAAACAAAGGTCTCCAAAAGCCCTTCCTTCAAATTTTAAGGCAGAAAATTAAAAACATAAAATCTCAAATCAATGGTCTGCCCGAATTCAAGAACAAGAAAGGACACTGCACATCATCTGTGATGAAGTGGTGTTGCCACCCTGCACATTCATCCCAACCTTCTGCTTTTGAGGAGTTGGGGCTCTTTTGTTGGCTTGGACTGTTTGTTTTGGAACCAGAGGATTTCCCAAAGCAGAAATGACAGGCAATGCTATCTTACCTAACAGGTAGCCGGGAGACAGACTCCCGCATCCGTCTCATTGTCAAGGGAGGTAGTGCAGGGACACCACTGTCACTGATATTTGAATTTGGGAACAATCTGAAATATCAACAAAAACAATTACAACTTCAACTGCTACACTACCTCCTGTACAATGCTCTTGAAAGCTCAGATTTTAAAGGGCTGTTTCTCTGAAGCATAATTCACTTGGTGAACACATTCCTGGTTTTGCATTGTGTTTTCCCCCTGTGTATGGAACAACTAAAACCTGTGCCTGCAGATTCCCAAAGGCAACGTCCACGTGTTCCTTCTAAACTTCAGATTTTCCTGAAAGGGTATTTGACCCACATTTTTCAAGTTCCTTTAAACCCAGAGTCATCCTACACTCTAACCACCAGTCAGTGTGAGGAAATGCATAACTGTAGGAGTAAGTTCAGTTACAAAAAAATACAATCATTAAGACACAAAAACCATTCCAGGTTTTAGCACTTCTGCATGAAAAGACTTCTAACACTGATTTTCAACTTTTTTTAAGCAATACTAGGGAAGTAGTATCCTTCATCTGTTTTCTCATCATCCTGTATGTTTTCAACAGGGTGTCAGAAGTTGTGGTAGTTCTGCACACTAAAAACCAACCGAATCATGGCCTTTTCTATTCCTAACAAAAGTGTTATGTGAGGAATTGCTATCACTGTTCAGAGGGTCATTCTGGATATTTGTTTGCTCGTCCCAGAATATTAAAATTCAGTGCCAGAGCAAAATGCCTTGAATGTGAACGGCCTTCTTTCCCTGGGAACAGACAATCATTGCTGGCTGTTCCGTGAAATCAATGCACAATCCTGGATACTGATCCACTTCCCAACCATCCAAACATACCACCATGATAAGAGAGAAAAAAATGCTCGTCTATCACAGAGAAACTGCTGCCACTAACAACAAACAGTCCTTACAAGAGCTGCCTGATGTTGCTCCAGTCCACACACATGGTTGGGACCTTAGTGCTGCAGTGCTCGTGGAATTTGTAGCCGCAGGTCTGACAGCGGAAGCCGTTGAGCAGGAACTTCTGGCAGATGTCACAGAAGGCCAACTTCAGGAAGGTCTTCCGAGCCTGGAAAACACACCAGGTCATTTACCTGAGCTGCAGACTTCTCATTAACCCCACTGGGGTGTGCAGAGCCTGTGCTATTGTTATCAGTGCCCCCAGACTGCTGCTGCACTGAAACCAAACCTGAATATGCCTGCAGAGATTCCCAGGCTGGTGGGAAACCAGGAAAGTGAGAAACACTCAGGGCTTTGTTTACAAAACAAAGAAACAAAGTGTTCTGTCCAAGGCCACAGCAATTTTTTTGCCCAGTAAGGTGACAGAGCTCGGTGGGCCAAGAACAACTGGGGGTTTTTGTTTGGTTTTGGTAATGCCAGGGAGGTGAAGGAGGATCTGATTGTAAGGACCACCTAGTTAGTATTTTTATTAGTCAAAACCCCTGGGGCATGTTTATGACTAACCAGTATCCCTTGCATGAGAAACAAACTCCTTAGGAAATAAAATTGCTTAAGGAATTTCCACTTTTTTAAATGGCAGCCTATATTTTTCTCTTAAAGCTTCTGCAACATGAAAAAAGAGTAAAATGAGCCAAAGGGTTTCTCCCTTCAGAACACACTGGGGAGGAAATCTTGAAGTCCGAGCTTCTTCCAGAAGTGGCAAAAAATATTCATTTTCTGGTGACCAACTGCAGATGGATTTTTCTTTGTAGTTTTCTAAAAATGTCAAGTAGGAGTGATGCAACTTTCAGGTTTTGTAAGTCAATCCTAACTTTTTAATGGCTGTAAATGACAATCCTTCAGGTTTGCCACTTAGCACAATGTATTTCTGGTACTAAACAACAAAAAGGCTAAAATAAAGGAATGGAGTTCCTTCTCATGAAGAAGAAAATAATGGAAGAGTTGGGCATTATCTCTTTGTAAAAAAATAATTAGAAAGAAAAACCCCACACATATACACAAACCCTAAAACACAAAACCTTATTTATTTATTATTGAATAAATAATCCATTTTTGAGAAGGAGCTTAAAGCCTTTCATCCCCAAAAAGCCACTCTGTCAAACTCCCAGGCAGCATCAGCTGGCAGAGCACTGCCATGCCTTGCAGGATTAAGGCTCCCTGTGTATCCAGTACAAATACCATCAGTCCAATAAATGTCCTGAACTTATCCAGCCTTTTTTGACTGATAAGCCAGAGACTTATCAGAAAATGCAAATTATCTCACAGTTCTGGACTTGAAAGACACAATATCTTAATACAACAGTTACAGAACTTTGTATTTATATGAAATAAAAATGGCAATCATCAGACCTTTGAAGAGCATGCATAACGTGAGCTTTCAGAGCCTCTGCCACCCAGGAATCACTAATGAAATAAATACAATTCTGGCACTTCAATGCAAATTGATACTCAGCCAGTGTAATTTGTGGGGAGCAGGGGTGAAGGAATCAACCACCACTTCTGAAAACCCCTGTGTTTAGGAAGCCAAAAGCTGCCTAATGCCCAAAACATTCTTGGACTGAGCAAGTGGTTCAATTGATACAATTTACATCAAAATACAGAGGAGGCAAAGCTTACAAAGTTGTGAGTAGTGAGTGGCACATGATCAAGGAAGTCCACCTGCAGCTCCTCTCCAATCAAGGAGGCAGCGTCCGTGTTCCAATCCAAACGCACCTTTTTGCTGAAAGACAAAACACACAACACAAAATTCCTCAGGAGATAAAAAGTCTGGCCCAACCAACCATCTGTGCTGTGTGAGCTTTCCCGAGTGAACTGAAAAGCACCACACAAAGCACGGCCAGGCTCCTGCAGGAGCTCCATCCCAGTGCCCTTCGCTCTGAGCACGCTGCAGGTCACCGCTCCCTCTGCTCGTTTTTAACACGTCAGACATTTTTATATGTGTGTGTTATTTGAAATGAGACACCTGGAAGCCTGAATGGAGTCCCAGAAATACCCTTGCAAACAAAACACAAGAAATTACGAACGGCAGACTCAGTGACGTGAAAGTGCTTCGGCACTGAAGTTACTGGTGAGTCCAGAATGGCCTGAGTTCCACACAGAGGTAACCCCCAAAATTCCTGCCCTCCAGGAGCATTAAGCCCAAGCCTCACAAGGTGTGAAGTTAAGTGTATTAACTCCATGAGATACCTTCACTCCCTCAGCCTGTAAAACAATCATTTGGTATTTAACAGCAGCATCCCCGGCCCTACAAAAAAATAAGGAATATCTGAAGTGAGATTTAAATCCAAACACTGGAAAGTTGTACAGGAATCAGAGCCTCCAAACTGAGCACACAGAGGTGTCCAGTGAAGCTGGCTAAGAATCACCAGCACTGAAGTTTACCAACTACATATGCAGCAGTAAAAGGCACCTCAAATATGAAGGCACCACTTCATCCAGAGTACGACCAAAGCCTCAGGGAGACCTTCCAAGCACTTGAGTAAATCCCTCCATTTTAAGTATTTTCAATATTTAGCTCTAAATCAAACTAAAACTGTTAATACCCTGGAAGTCGAAGGAGCATCCCCAGAGGAGGGTAACAAAAACACCATGGAAGAGTTCCCAACCAACCTGTGCTTTTCAATGGAATCAGCCACAGAGAAGAGCATTGCTGCTGCTGTGCCACACCCAGGATTTTCACATTCTCCTGCTGAAAAGTTCCCCTCTTACCCTTTTGTCTCAGGAAGTCGAAACACTGCACAGCATTCTGGCTGCAGGCCTCTCACTTTCAGTGCCTTCATCAGACAGTCGTGCAGGGTCATCCCATTTCGCACATTCACCTGTGACCAACGGCAAACAAAGCCAACAAAACCTTTACTCGGGGACTGCTGAACTTCTTTAAGCTTTTCCAGGAGTGGAAGGCAATTTGTTCCTCATTTTCTTTAGAAATTCCAGTAAAACCGCACAGCTGTTTACTTTGGACAAACAGATAAGCAAAAATTACTTGTATGATGTAACCACAAAGTGCTGTGCCTTCCAACTTAACTCAGTGCACATGAAGCCAACCTGCCAGGCCAGCACATCTGCTGCCACATCACCACCTACTGTGTACCCCTGCAAAGGAAGTTTTGAAGCCATTTCATGAACTCCTTGATTTCTTACAACTCCTAAGTTTCTATCAAAGGGGATTTTATACAGGTAGGTACAAGCCCAAAGAAATAAATAAAAAATGGAGACAAATGGAGTTACCTGAAGTACAGACAAAGGTTTAATTTAGATTTCAGGGAACTTTGTGTAGGTCTATTATTAGTATTCTCAGCTCCAAGAAACTGAGCAGAAGTGCTCCCTCAAGAAGTTTCACTTCAGCTTTAACCACCACACTTGACTGTGGGCATCCAAGTGAGGAAAACGGTGACAGAAGTGACTATCCTACAGACACCACTGTTTGGGCCAGCCAACAACTGCTTTTTAATGGGATTTATGTAAGCAGAGCATGCAGCTTGTGCATGAAGGAAAATTCACAGCACTGAGGCAGAGAAATACAGGTTCTCAACATGCCAGAGAAGAGCAGGGAGGCTGGGGAAGGGACTGGAGCACAAGTGCTGTGAGGAGAGGCTGAGGGAGCTGGGGTTGTTGAGCCTGGAGAGAAGGAGGCTGAGGGGTGACCTCAGCACTCTCTGCAACTCCCTGACAGGAGGGGGAGCCAGGTGGGGGTTGGTCTCTTCTCCCACACAGCTCTCAGTAAGACAAGAGGGCTCGGTCTCAAGTTGTGCCAGGGGAGGGTTGGGTTAGATATTAGGAAGAAATTCTTTACAGGGAGGGTAATCAGGCATTGGAAGGGGCTGTCCAGGGAGGGGGTGGATTCTCCATCCCTTGAGGTGTTTAAGAGACTGCATGTGACATCAGTGCCATGGGCTGGTAACTGTGGTGGTCGTGGATCAAGGGTTGGACTTGATGATCTCAGAGGTCCTTTCCAACCCATCTGATTCTGTGATCCTGTACAGATACAATGCTTTTAAAACATGTCCCCTAGAATGAACCAGCTGCTGACAGGCTGAGTCCCAGCAGTCCCAGCAGTGAGTTCAGGCAGTGCTGCAGCCACACTCACCACGGTGCGCTGCTTGTTGGGCAGGAACACGCGGATGGTGTTGCTGGTTTTGGAGGTGTCGGATATTTTGCCGTCGTCAGAGGCTCGGCGCTGGTAACCAAACTGCTGCACTATGGTGGGGGAAATACAATTGGGGCCATCAAACACAGAATCCTTGAGTCCAAAGCCATTGCTGATGGTCTTCCAAGCTCCCTGAATGTGCTCCATGGGTGCGGTCTAGGGAACAAACATTGGGAGAGTCAGAGAAAACGACAACATCCTTTGGGACTTTGTCTTCCTGAGACAACAAACCTCAGCTTTTCTGAAAGCACCTGAAAACTTCAACAATATTTTTTCCTTTTTTCAATACTGTCACAACTCACACAGTATGGAACAGCATAAAAACCGTCTCAGCCCTCACACACACTGTGCTCAGTTACATTTCAGCATCAACAAAGGCTGAGATTGGGATTGTTCAACCAGGAAAAGGCTCTGGGAAGACCTCATTGTGGCCTTCCAGGACCTGGAGGAGCCTGCAGGGAAGATGGAAAGAAGCTATTTACAAGGGTCTGGAGGGACAGGACAAGAGAAATGCCTTCTCACTACCAGAGAGCAGGGCTGGATGGGATATTGGAAAGGAATTCCTGGCTGGGAGGGTGGGCAGGCCCTGGCACAGGGTGCCAGAGAAGCTGTGGTTGCCCCTGGATCCCTGGAAGTGTCCAAGGTCAGGTTGGACAGGGCTTGGAGCAACCTGGGACAGTGGAAGGTGTCCCTGCCCATGGCAGGGGTGGCACTGGATGAGCTTTAATTCCATTTTGGGATTCTATAAAACCTCTCCCAGTGCAAGGACACAACCAAGCCCCGCACACTCCCAAATCAGCACACAGTACATTTTCAGCACACACACAGACAAAGATAAAGGTGTCATCGTACATTTTTCCCCCAGCCATCACAACTGCAATGCAGCTTAAACTCCAAATTATACTCCAAAGGCATCTTATTCAAAACTAAGCGAAATCAAAGTCTGTCCTCGTTTCTAAACCAAAGGTTGAAAAGTACAATTAAAAAATAACCACTGAAAAGGGCACAGTAATTTATTTCCTCCACAGAACTGCAGTCTCTACAAACCCCTTGGAGAGCAATGCCAGGACTGTGCAGTGTATCTGCACACCTTTCCCATGGCAGTAGCTGCTCCCAAAGCCATCTCCAGTGGCTGCACACACCACCCACATTCCTGATCACCTCCAGGAAAGGGGATCACAAAGTCATAATAGAACTGTGAAGTCAAAAAGTAAATCAGTCAGGACGTGACAAAATCAGGGTCTTCCAGTCAATCCCAATTCCATCCCCTCATGGTCTAGGTAAGACTTGGCTGGAAGAGCTGCAGTGTCTCCTGCACTCACTCACAACCTAATCCAGTACCCAACACTCCTCACTGACACCCACCACGAGCTATTCCAGCCTCTTCCCATGGGTTCTCCTGCACCTCTTTGATTGCACATTATTTGAACCCTCCAGCTCATGCTTATGTCAGAGAAAACACCATGGTGGTTGTTACAACTGAAGAGGTAAAACACTGGAATTCTTGGATAAAAAAGATCTCCACTAGTGTCAAGTCCAGTCCACTCTGTGGGCAGTCCCCCAGGTCTGCCCAGCAGCTGGCAAGGGAACAGAACACAAACTTCTAGAGAAAGGTGTGGTTCCCACAAGGTCCCCCATCCCATGCAAACTGCAGCAGCAGAGCCCTGGGCCTGCCCCCTCACAGGATCTCTGGGTCAGCTCCTGAACATCTTTCACTCACAGGGTGTACAGTGACAACAAACATGTCCTCCTGCCAGCCTTGTCCCTCCTGCACCCACCCCATCAGCTGAGCAGCTCCAGTTGTGAAGAGGCTCAAGATCTTTAAATGTAAGTAAAGCTCAATATCCCACTGAAATCTAACAGAATTCGGGCACTTGGGATTTTTTTGAATTTTTAAATCTGTGGCACGTGACAACAGTCTTGTAAAGAGGGAACAATGAACAGCAAGACAGAGAGACATTCTGAATAAAAAGGGGAGATAAAATCGAGGAACACAACCCGAGTTCACCACACAGAAGCAACTGCAAGCACAGCATCTCCCAGTCCATAAGCACTGCCCTACTGTCAGGCATCAGAAAGGTGAAAAAAGTGATGTACAGTTACAATACCCACACAGTGCACATGGCAGCTAAAGGAGCAGCCAGGTAGATGGCAGCAATAAAACCTGAGTGGAGAGAAACTGCCAGGTAAGAGGGGAAAGGTGAAACCCAGACAGCTCAGCCCCTTTCCTTCTCTCAACTTACCCCCTATGGACACTTCTTGCTTTCACCCCTGCATGTAACACACGTGACAGAATAAGAGGAGACCAAGCTGGGAAGTTGAGATTAGGACTGGCAGGGCAGCCATCAAATCCTCCTTGTTGTCACTGCTGATGCAGGTGACACCACCTCAATGCTGCAGCCTATTTAACATCCTGACCCGCTGCCAACACTGCCTGAAAAATTCCTGAGACAACACGAAGCACCAAGAAATTCAGACCTGTGTCTCTGACAAAAGGTAAGTTTGGTACCAAGCTGACTAGAAAATAACATTTAATGACACAACAGAACATTGCACATTCACACACCATTTCTAGATGGTTCACTGAACACTGAACCAAGCACAACTGCAGGACACAACAGTCTGTGCCACAGGACACAGGTCTGAGTCCACCTTAGCAGAGAAGCCTGGGCAGAGCACAGCTCACCTTTCCAAGCCCAGGAATCCGTGCCCTGGCATTCACTCATCCATTCACTGTGGGTATTTTGCTCCAAGCAGTCATTGATTAAAGGCATTTTGACTGAAACTACATTCATTTACTCCAAATCCCCCAAGATACATATCAGTGAAAAGGTGTGTGATATGTTTTAGAGAAAAATTTCACTTAAATGAGGAAAGATTTTACAATAATGGTTTTATAAATACATTATTCTTAGTTTGTCTGTTCCAGAAAAACTATGTTTCCTTCCTTTAAACGAGATGCCAGCATGTTTCTGACACATAATCATTATCAGGTATAATATTTATGTTTATGCCAGGCTCCAATAATCCAATGCCACCTGAATGTTTTCCTGCATCTTTCTAAAACTTTTCCTTTCCACCTTTTCTCCCTGCAGCTCCTCACTTCCATGACAATGACTGCAACCAGCCTGTCCACAACTAAACTGCAACTGCAGCATTGCAAGAGCATGTGAAGATAGTGCAGTGTGTGAGTCCTGCTGCAGATGCAGCACTGCAGGAAGCTGATCCTGAGTGGTTTCACATTACATGGTCAGTCTGAGCAGAGAAATGAGGTCATATTTTCCTCCCAGTCCTCCAGGAATACTGCACACTGTGACCAAGATGGCACTTTTCATTAGTGCTTTCTGGGTAATTACAGATCCTGATAATTAATTCTTTGAACAATCAAATGCACAGAAGGGCTGTGGAATGTGCACATCTGACAGGAACAAATTCCTGGAGATCAGGCCCTCAGCCCACTCCACACACTCATCACTCATCAAATTCAGAAGGTACTTTCAGCCACTTGCACATTTTCCATGAGTAGGAAAAATGTTTACTCTGAACTGTTAACAATTTCAGTCTCCCTCCCTCCCTAAGAAATGCCAAACTTGGAAGCTCCCAGGACACAGAGCTCAACTCCTCTCTTAGGTACCCTGCCCTTTCTTTTTATTCTGAAACAAACACCAAAAGCTTTCCCAGCAATGTAAGAACAGTTCCAACACACACACCTGCTGCCATTTCTATCCACCCAATTAACAGTCACATTTAATTAACAGTCATATTTAATGAAATACACCTACAAATAACACAGCCCAGAATCCATTTCAAACTTTACATTTCTGTCAGTAAATATAAGCTTGGAAAGCTGCTTATAAGCCATGTTTTCTTTTCTGACATACATTTAACTGCGGCCTTTTCTCCTCCCATACAGTGATTATTGAGGGATTTCATATTGCCTGGGTGAACCACTGTCTGGGGACAAACAGAAACCCACACCAAACAAAGATCTATCATGATATAGAGGAGGAGTTTTTTTAAAGTAGCTTTTCAGAGTAGTAGAAGATAAACATGGACACGTTCCTATATTAATAAATAGAGCTGTGATCCGTGTTAACATGCAGGGCACGAGTTGGGATGAGTTCAACAACCCAAGCCAATGTCTCCTACATCTCCAAGGTTGGTGTTTCTCCCCTGCGTGTCCTTCATTTTAGGAGATGGATGCCAAAAAAGCAAACTCCTCCCTAGCACAACTGACAGAAATTAAAAATTAACAGGAGGAAATGTTAGTGTTCAGGGAAAAAAACAAACTCAGAACAAAACCGACCAGTACAGAAACACAGATCATTTCAGCCTCAGCTGTTCTGATCTTGGAGGTATTTTGCTGATCTTTTTCTTTATTTCTCACAACCATTCCCCTCTTAGTCACTGCTTACATGTAGTAAGAACATTAGAGAAACAGGAGCATTGAACACCCCATGTCTAAAAGAGAGATGCAGAATCCAAATCCTTCCCTTTCCCAAAGCAACAAACCAATCCCAGGTAAAAAGAAAAATGCAACAGGTTCTTCCAAGCAATCAGAACGTTTTTAAACTGTGGTTAAGTACAGCTGTTGAGATTACATATATTCACAAAGTGTATAAAACTGCCACAGGAACACCTTTAAAAGGAAAAAGTAAGCACACACATCTTGCAGAAGTTTTGCTAACAAAGCACCAGAACCCTTTGTCACAGAGTAAAACCTCTGCTTCTCCTTTATATAATATTTTGTAATTTTTTATCTGACGTGCCCTTAACATGAAGGCTATTAACACTGAAGTGATACTGAAATAATTCTCCTTTATTAATTTCATAAATTCAAACACACTGCTAGCAACAAAAAGCATCCTGAGCACTGCTTTCTTGGATCTGATCTATCAGAATCACATTATTTGACACTCTTGGACTTGTTGTTTCTTCCCCATGTTAAAATTTTCCTCCAAAGAAGGATTTCCAAAGGCAGCTCTTGAAAGCACTGCAGAGGTGGGGCTGTGAGTGTCCTGTCTTTCCACAGAGCACACACTCTGGACAAGCCTTTCTGGCCCTGTGTCTCCATCACTGCACATGCACTCCCAGCCTCGTGCCATCTGCATTCCAACCCTGCTCATGCTCCAACTGTTTCAAGGTTGAAAGCCCCA